CGCTGGTACCTGCTTTGGAGCCTGGTCCGGGAGCAGCCGGTTCTCGCTCCTCCAGGCTCCAGCAGCAGCTGCTCTTCCCGCCCCCCAGTGGCAGAGGCCGGTTACTGCAGGGAACTGGACTGTGAGTGCCCAGTCAGCTGTGCTGACCGGACGCTGCCAGTTTCCCTTTTCAACTGGACGTTCCCGTCGAAAACCAGACGCCTGGCAGGCCTAGGCGGTGGGGACCCCAGGCCCAGGGACCAACCTCGCCAGGCAGCACCGTCCTTGCTCTCTCCTCCCCTGGCCCGACCGCAGCGGGGCTGTTTGTTGTTTATCCCCCACAGGTTCCTGGGCAGCGACTCCCGGGACTCCTACTTCAGCAACACCCAGAGACATCGCATCGTAAGTAGGGTGGGGGGAGCCTGGGGACCTCAGGGGCCTGGCCCCCTCCCAGCACTGTTCTGCCCCAGCCATGCTCTGCCCGCGTTCGTAATTAACCCCATTGCCCTAGAGGCAGCTCCACGGACCCATCACGTGGCGGGAGGCCAGATCGAAATCCCGCAGCTCTCTAATGGGCTGATTTAACCCCCCAGATCCAGCCTCCCTGTGTGGAAACCCCAACTCAGATTCCCCCTTCATGGTTTCGGGCCCAGCTCTGTGCTTCAGCCTCCGCGGGCCCCACAGCTGATGGGAAACGCTAGAACAAGCGATGTGTGTTCGAATCCAATCTCAGGCTTCAGGGCACGGCTGATTGCCTGGGGAAGGGTCAGGAAGGCTCCCTCTGCCCTGCATCTAGCACGGGCCAAGGAGAATGTGGGGGCATCAGAGCCGTGGGCAGCTCCTGCCCTGGGGGCTGGGCCAGATAGGTCAATGCAAAGGCTCCCGTTAGTGTCCCAAGGCTCTGGTGCAAGGTCCAGGGGTGTGAGCTCCACAGGGCTGCGCCCAGCCGGGGCTTGCTGGGTTCCTGCTCCGCACAAGCCCCGGCGAGGGTGGACTTTGCTGACGGCGCCGTGCCCCTTGGGTCGGCAGGTCTATGAGATCCTGGCTCGCACCGTCTATGGGAAGCGGAAACGCGCCGAGATCGGGATCAATCGGCTGCTGAACGAGCGGGTGTACACCGCTGCCTTCCCGCTGCACGAGGTAGGGGCCGTCGGATGGGCTGCTGTCCCTCCGGAGCTGGGATGGGCTGGGGGGCCTGGGAGAGAGATGTCCCTCCGGAACTGGGATGGGGGGGAGGACCTGGGAGAGAGACGTCCCTCTGGAACTGGGATATGGGGGGCCTGGGAGAGAAACATCCCTCCGGAGTTGGGATATGGGGGGTACTGGGGGGGCAGCTGCTGGCTCTGCAGGTCCTGGTTGGTCACAGCAGCCATTCAGCTGGCACTAGGCAGGGGTCCCAGACAGCCGTTGGCAGCCCTGCCCCGGGCACCGCAGAGACCCTGCCCCATCCGCGGTCGCCCCTTGCTATGCAGGTGGCCGACCCGTCTCCCTCTCTGTTGCCTTGACCCAGGGCCCCTTCGAGACGCCTGAGTCTGAGGTCCCCGATGAAGCCCTGAACCCTCGCCAAGTCCTCTACCGCTTCTGGGCCCAGTGGGGCTGCTGGTACCGGTACCAGCCACTGGATCACATCCGCCAGTACTTCGGGGAGAAGATTGCCATCTACTTCGCCTGGCTGGGTGAGAGCCCACCTCCTCCCTTCTGTCCGCCTCTGCCCAACTGTCCCCTGGCGCCCCCGGTGCAGTGTCCCGGGGATCCAGGGGATTCTTCCTGGAGCCTGCTGGACACACAGAGCCCCAGGGGCTCCCCCAGCCTCTGCTGCCTGGTGGCACCGCCCAGGGCTCTCCGTGTCCTGGCCGACAGAGGCAGACTCCCAGCACCCTGACTGGTATGGAAAGGGCCGTGGGGCAGAACCACGTGGGCAGGTCTCCTGGTTCTTTCCCTTGGTGCTGCCGCTAAGTGCCAGCAGTGCCATGTGGATGCTGCCCTGGTGCCCTGTGCTCCTGCTTCACAGGGGCGTGGGCGGGCGTGGGGTGGAAGAGGGCGAGCGAGGTGCCATGGGAAGGTCTGCGAGTGCCTTAGTCCGGCCCCCAGCCTGCCAGGTGGGACGGGATCATTGTCCGCATTTTACAGCTGAGGAAACTGAGGCACGGACGAGGGAGGGACTTGCCCCAAGCCACACGGGGCATCAGCCCCAGGGGTAGAACCCAGCAGTCTTGGTGCCCCACCCTTGATGGAGAGGGGAGGGAGGGGGTCTCCTGTGCCCGGTGTCGCCCTCCTCAGGGGGCTGGTCTCATGTGCCTGTCCCCTCTGCAGGCTTCTACACAGCCTGGCTGCTCCCTGCTGCGGCCGTGGGCACCGTGGTCTTCCTCGCAGGCCTGGTTGCCATGGGAACCAACACGCCAGCGTGAGTCTGTGGGGCTGGGGTTGGGAGCGTGTGGGGGGGGACACGTGGTGTGTGTGAGGAAGACAGCTGCCATCCTACCCTTCCCCCCACCCCCAGATGCCCCCCCCCCACCGACATCCAGCCCTCAGACGCAGGAATTCACAGGCTGCCTCCAGCCGCCCTTACTGCAGTGTGCGGCCTGGAAGCTGCGAAGGCCCCGTGCTGCCTTCTTGCAGGGCCTGTGGGAGAGGGGGGGCTATAGGGGCTACTCCAGCAGCTCCCATCACTCTCCGTTCCCAGGCCGAGCAAAAGCCCCAGGGTCACCACTGCCAGAAGAAAGGAGGAAGGGGGTGACACAGGGAGGTGCTTTGATATGTGGTGACTAGATAGAAGGGTGGGTGGGAGAGGGGATTATAGGTTGTTGGATGGCGGGTGGGGAGATGATCGGTAGTTGGGCAGATGGATGACTGGATGGATGGGTGTGTGGAGGGATGGACAGGTGGGTGGATGGAGGGATGGATGGGTGTGGGTGTGTGAATGGCTGGAGGGGTGGGTGGATAGATAGATGGATGGAGGGATGGATGGGTGGATGTTTGATGGACGGGTGTGTGTGTGAATGGCTGGCTGGATAGATAGATGGGTGGGTGGGTGGATGTGTGGATAGATAGATGGATGGACGGGTGGGTGGGTGTGTGGATGGATAGATGGGTGGGTGGGTGGGTGGATGATGGATGGGTGGGTGGATGGATGGACAGATGGATGGACGGGTGGCTCTCTGGGATGAAGCAGACACATGCATGTGCTGGTATGTGTACGTGTGTGCACATGTGACGGTGCGTGTGGGGACCTGTGCATGCATGTGCGTGTATGCAGTGGGTGTGGGGTTGGTGAAGTGCTAGCCCTGCGTTTCTCCTGAGGAGCCGTACCCTGCTAACCCAGCCCTGTGCTCGCTCCCCCCAGGCAGGAGATCTGTGAGAGCGGAGGCCAGTTCCTCATGTGTCCGCTCTGCGACACGTGTGAGACCTGGAACATCTCGGAGATCTGCCCCATGGCTAAGGTAAGGGAAGACTGCTTGGGGGCTAATGCCGACATGGTCCAGACCCTGCTGCCCAAGGGGGCCCGGCTCGATGCAGTGAGAAATCCCCACTTTTGGGGTTTTCCCTGCACAGACGCCCACAAAGCCTTGGAGCTCCCCCTGCTCACACTGCTCAGAGCTGTGCTGCGGGGAGTGGGGGAGCTCTGACTATAGGGGAGCCCCTGGCTACTCCAGTCCCAGCATCTCCCAGCAGGAGGCGCTGTAGGGAGCAATGCTAGAGA